GATGGGAGGTGCTCTTGGCAGTAATTAAGAGATTGAGAAGCTCCTTATGAAACTGCTTTGTTGATCGTGACAATGAACTCAGGGAGCAGGAGTGGTGCCCTGTTCAATCCTCACTTCACCTGCCTGAGCAAAAACCATGCAGACAATAAAACTTCCTGGCGGTGGCCTCATGTCACTCTAAACATCACCTGAGTGTTCATCCAGCTGTGACGCCGTCACACGCAGTGTTCTGTCCCCACCTACTTGCCTCCCAGCCCTCAGGGGCAGCCAGTCCCCACTGTTACCACCCTCCCACCTTCCCACTCTTCTCAGACCCCAGGCCCGCAGTCAGCTGGGTGCATTTCTTGTGCCGCGTGCACCTGAGTTGTCTGCCTCATAGTTGCCCCCAGCTGGACCTTCCCAGGGAGGAACCAAACGAGTGAAGTAAAAAGAAATGCTTGTGAACGTCAGCCCGTCCTCATCCATGTTCCATCTTTGCCTTTGTCTCAAGTTGTACATGGCTGTCTTCTCGGACCAAATTCTGATTTTGCAAGTAAAGAATCTGGCTGTGCCATTGTGTTAATAAAACAATAGTAGTCACCTTCCAGATTCAGAGAACAAACCCAGCATGTTATTCACAGGAAAAGGAAGTTTTTCCATGTGTGGCTTCAACTGGAGAACTTAGAGGAGGAAGTGCTTTGTGGGAAGGGGTATTCCTGTGTTCGGCCTTCAGATCGGAGCACAGGTGCGGTGAATGGCTTCTGTTTCTTCTTGAAGAATGAAGTCAAAAGAACGCACTTGGGGATGGAATAGATGTAACCTGAGTTGATGATTCTTCTTCAGTTTCATTTTTGCACTCATATACCTGTGCCTCTTTAGGCTAAAAACTGGAAATAGCTCTTTATAAGATCAAATGCTCAGACGAGGATGACTTGTAAAGAAGTTAGGAAATTTCTGCTATAGGAGAAGTGGTATTCCTGTTTTTACCAGGTTAGACATCACCTGTTTTTCCCCTGGGTGTTTTTTCTTTAAAAAAAATAAAAAACGGCCGGGCGCGGTGGCTCACGCCTGTAATCCTAGCACTCTGGGAGGCCGAGGCGGGCGGATTGCTCAAGGTCAGGAGTTCAAAACCAGCCTGAGCGAGACCCCGTCTCTACCATAAAAATAGAAAGAAATTAATTGGCCAACTAATATATATAATATAAAAAAAAATCAGCCGGGCATGGTGGCTCGTGCCTGTAGTCCCAGCTACTCGGGAGGCTGAGGCAGGAGGATTGCTTGAGCCCAGGAGTCTGAGGTTGCTGTGAGCGAGGCTGATGCCACGGCACTCACTCTAGCCTGGGCAAGAAAGCGAGACTCTGTCTCAAAAAAAAAAAAAAAAAATAAAAAATAAAAAAAAATAAAAAACAAGGCAGAATCAACGTAGTCATGCAGTGAAAAGGAAGGAAGCTTTATTTTTTTTTATTTTTTTATTTTTTTTGAGACAGAGTCTCGCTTTGTTGCCCAGCCTAGAGTGAGTGCCGTGGCGTCAGCCTAGTTCACAGCAACCTCAAACTCCTGGGCTCAAGCGATCCTGCTGCCTCAGCCTCCCAAATAGCTGGGACTACAGGCATGTGCCACCATGCCCGGCTAATTTTTTTCTATATATATTAGTTGGCCAATTAATTTCTTCCTATTTATAGTAGAGACGGGGTCTCACTCTTGCTCAGGCTGGTTTCCAACTCCTGACCTCAAGCAATCCACCCACCTCGGCCTCCCAGAGTGCTAGGATTACAGGCGTGAGCCACCGCGCCCGGCCGGAAGCTTTATTTTGCCCAAGTGGAAATGTTTCCACTATTTTGTCACTTTATGGATTGAGTAGTAGGTGTAGTCACAAGCACCTGGGGAGCCTGCCTAACACTTGGCTGCCATAAACTTCTCCTTTCATGGGCAGAAAACCTGGTGTTGCTTCGTGACAAGAGAGGTCAGCTCAGCATTTTGCACCAATGTCATTATTAACGTGAGCAGTGCCAGGTGCTGTGGCAATCCAAGTGGCCTATACTCACAGTTCCTGCCCACCTGGAGTTTTCTTACTCTGAGGTTAGTGCAGATTGTAATTCACTTATTGAGAATCAGATACCTAGAGTAATAAGATTAGGTGACTGTCAGAGACGCCAGAAGCAGGTAGCATCAAGATTTGATGACTGTTCCCTCTCCTACCTTGGAAAAGTTATCTACAGAGTATCTCAGTAGAGTCCCAGGATTTCAGAAGTATTAATCTATATCAAGATCTAGATATTTGGGGATTAGATGCAGTGTAAAATGCCCCTTTACTGTCCGGAGTGTTGGCAACAAATTCATTTGTGAGGCTAAGATGCTACTTCTTAAGTATAGAGATTTATTTTGTGTACACATGGAAATCTCTACACATGGAAATCTCTCTTGTCCCATGTTTTACCAACTCTGGTTTTGCCATACTGGTGGCATTTCATGTTTAAAGTTTCCTCTTTGATCGTTGAGAGAGATTCAAGAAAGTTCCAAGGCTGTTACAATTTTAATACCACCTCCAGCTTCATGTTAAAGATAAAGAGGTTAGAGGAAACGCTTTCAGTTACAAATTGTGCTCTGCTTGTTCATGGCATTTGTCAATAAGCTATGTCTACAATAAGCATATACTACCAGTACCTTAAATATGGTAAACTGTTCAAATTCTGAGGCAATTTGTTTTGAACTTCTCTTCTTTTAACTTGCTCATGTAGTCATAGAGGAAGTAGCCTATGTTTTCTTTCACTGTACATTGCATTCATAATGAATCATCTATTTGTAAGGATTACAGATCTTTATAGAGAAGTAGGCAAGCGCAGGATGACTGTAATGTAAACCTGTTTGTATATTGACCAGACTAGTGTATTTCATTTTGGGGTTTTATATAGACATTTATATTTGAGATTTTTTTTAATCACATTTTTAAGATCACTTTTCCACCGTTTTGATAGACTTTAAATAACAAATGCAATTGTGAGGGGTTTTGTTTGCGTTTTTCTTTGTTTTAAATCTAAATTGTTGACTATTTTGCTTGTTGAGGTAGTATACAAGTCATTCTATATATTTCTTTGGAAAATTCAATGTTTTAAGGTTGTCTTAAGAAATAATTTTATAAATTTAGTTTTAAGTAAGTCAGCATATTTCACTGATGTCCCTAGGTAAGATATTAATTAGATTACTATTTGTATTAGTACACATTTCTTATTTTACTTACATATGTAAGCATTAATAATTAAACATGTTGATCTTTATAAATGATGTAGATCAAATACTAAATATGAAGAAAATATAAATAACAGTTCTTCTAATAACCTGAATTTCAGTTAATTTGCTTAAATAAGTTTGCTAAGATTTCCAGGATAGAAATCTGTCATTTATAATTTCTTTTACGAATGTCAACAAGTTAATATATTCAGTATTTCTGTATTGAAATGAAAGGAGACATTAATTTGAATTAACACTAAGTGCATTACACAGTATCTTTTAAAAGCAATGAGACTATTTGATTTAATGATTATGAATTTAATAGGCCGAATACATTTCTTCATAGGTGGGTTGATAATATCACAATCTACCTTCATAATTAAGTATCAAGGGTCTATTCTCATTTAACAGCTTCTTTAAGGCTGAGTAAACATGATCTTAATTAAACTCACAGATAATGCTAGAGCATGTTGATTGCTGCAGTAAGGAAAATGAAATGATTCTGCCTGACCTTAAGAAACGATAAATACGGGAATGTTGACAAATGATGGTAAGCAGCAAACATCTGAGAGAGGATCAACTCCCAAGTCAATATTTCTGAAAGAAATTGGGTTTGGTTTTGAAATGTGGTATTTGAATATTTAGAAATGTTCCTTTCAAATATTTTACAGAAACCCTGAAATATGTCAACTCACTATACTTAGTTTACAAGTCAGGGTAAAATTCCTGTTTCAGGAAGCTGGTATAGTAGAGGTCTGTCTCGGATGAAGAAGACATTGCAGTGAACTCTTAATGATGGCTGAGGGTAGCATGCTGTAGAGGACAGAGTCACAGAGCCCTGACTCTTGCTGTAGGTAAATTAAATGAGGTAACTTGCTAGGTTTTATGACCACCACTCCCCTTTTGTGACTACTGTACAGATAATAGAGATTGAGGTGCTAATCTGTGTTGAAGAAAAGCAAATTAAAATAAGATTGTCTCCACTTCACCATCTACTGGTTTTGTCTTTGCCTTATTCTTTGAGGCTCGAGAAAGTTACTTCGAAATGAAATTAGCCATTTTATAACTTCCTACTAGCAGAAACAGGAAAAACAGAAACAGGCTTGTGCCCATATGTAGCAACTGATTTCTACTCACTGGGTTTTCATTAAAACCAGCAGCTAGCATGCCTGTGAAAAAGGACCATCGCTATTATTTTAATGTACTGGAATCTGTTTTTATGATCCCCAAACATTTACCTTAAAAAGGAAATTACGAATGCTGTGTATAAGATGAAAAATGAATGAGTGGTGAAATACATTTATCTTAGGCATCAGCTGTTCTGTTGACAAAAGGCTGAAATATGAAATTTGTCTAAATAATTAGATTTTTAATTAGTGCATCATTGTAAGATTAATGTCATTGCGCTTCATTGGATGTAATTTTGTATTAGTAATTTTATGTCAACAAAGATGCTACCTGTGGTTTGCTGATTTGAATCGTTAATTTATCACTTGTATGCATGGCATGTCACATGTTTGCAGTCAAGAGCTAAAAGAAGGTAATTGATTATCTCTCCACTGGTGGTGAGGAATATTGATGGTGTTATGCTATATGAATACATTATATTTTCTAATATTCAAGAGGCAGCCACCCCTCAAATATTAGTGAATGCATAATAATTTGCAGTAATGTTAACAATGGCATTAACAGATAGGTTGTTCAACCTAGTATGTGCCTACATTGAACACACTTGAACATTGTTGATACTGTATTCTCTTTTTAAATCTTTGTTTTTTCTTTCCTTTTGACAGTTGCCGAACAAGCAACCGAAAAAGCTTGATAGGCAATGGGCAGTCACCAGCATTGCCTCGACCGCACTCACCTCTCTCTGCTCATGCAGGTAATTGATTACCCTTTTTAAAATTTTGTTTCTTTTTGTTAGTTTTTAAAATAATTCACACGTTTTGAGATGCAGATGTGTTTTCACAGCTTATCTTGGTGTTCTTGTTGTTTTATCACTAAGTTGTTCTTTGTGCTCGGTTAACTAACCCAAACCTTATCCTCTGTTTGAGTGATTAGACTCTGACATACAGAATTCCTTTTTATATGGGATCATTTTTCAAATATTTCTTTCTCCATTTCTAAGTTTTTGCATGATGCAAGACATGGTTTTCATGTTAGGAATATGTTTGGAAAACATAGACATGATGAGTCACATGAAAAGGAGTATTAGTGTTAAAAACTATTCAGCATGTTTCTCCCTAAAATTGAACTTGTCTAATACTTTGTGATAGCCATTGTAGGGAGGAGGAAGATTCAAGAGATGAGGCTCTTGGTCTCAAGTACTTTGTAGAATTATAAGGAAGGTAGAGCCACATTATAAAAACTATACAATGAAGGCTGCTTTGTATGCTTTTTTTTTTTTTTTTAAAGTTCTGTCCAAGCTGAGGCAAAGAGAGAAGGGTTAATTCTAATCAGGAAAATCTGGGAGAGTTTAAAGGAGCCATTTGCCCAAGATGTTGAAAGATGAAAAGACTTTGGTACGTGGAAATGGGATGAAAGAAAGAGAATTCCCAGTGTATGGCATGTGAAGAGAGTGGAAGGGGTTTTGACTTTGAATCCCTTTTAAGGATTTTGAGGAGGGATCTGTCTTTTGGAGAGGTGTCTTCAGGATTGTGGAGAATGATGGGGTGAAAGGATAAGTGGTTAGCCCTACTTCCACTATACTCTTGTGAAAACTCTACTTTGACACTGACGTGCTCTCGGCTGATCTTGATTGCATATCTTCAGAAGGCGGTCCTTGAGCTCAAGGAGGCTCTCAATTCAGACTGGGAGTTGTCTGTTACATGTTTAGGAAGAAGAAAGAAGAGAGAGGTAGTTGTTCCTTTGGAATGAAATTTTGTTTTCCTTGGAGTGATACATAAAAGCTGGTATAGTAAAAAAGGTAAAGATAAATTGATAAAATTATGATTTTGTCAGTTGACTGCTAACATCCCAAAATGGCTCTTCCAGGTAAAACTTAGAGAACCTGTTACACACATGAAGACAAGTTCTAGACCTCTCATAGCAGTATCATTTATAATAGCTAAACATTTGAAACAACCTAAATACCAGTTAGAAAGTGGATAAATGAAGTGTGGCGCAGTCATGCACAGAACACTGTACACATAGAAAACAAGTAAACTAGCACTGTACGTATCTGCATGGGTGAAACTCAACTATATTTTTGGACAACAAAAGCAAGTCACAAAAGAATATTACATAAATGTTTTATATAAAGTTAATATGCTACATACAATGTTTTGTTTAGGGATATATATAAAAATATATAAGGTACATAATATGTTATAATTATAAAATATATATGTTTATAGTAACAACCTAAAGGAAAACATGGTAATCTTAAAGACAAGTTTCGTGAGAGTAGTTATCACTGAGAGAGTGAGTGTGAGGGGGACATGACTGGGGAGAGACGGGTAAGCAGTAGGAATGCTGTGTTTCCAAAGCTGTATGATGAGTATACACTACTTATATTATTATCATTTATATTTTTGAGATTTTTATTATATGATCATCCTAGTAGTAAAACCCTACAGAGGGCCCAGCAAGGCCAAATATCTCACTTGGGTCTCGAATTATATCTTTATAAATAATCTTTACATTCTTCTGGCACCCAACATGCTGCCTGGCAGTATACACTATAATAGATGCTAGTGAGTGATGAGTTCTATTTTTTACATATAATTCAATAGTGATTTAAAAACTTAATCTTACTCCTCTTTGTGGTGTTTTGTAGTAATTTCACTATCCTTTATGTGCCCGTTGATTAGTCTTTTATTGCTGTGATTTTCTTCAGTTCTAATACTGAGAAGAGAGCAAATGTGGTTAAGACTTTAATGATCCTTTTAATTTTCTTTTCTCTAATAGACTTAGGTTAAATTCTTTTCCTTTCAACATTAATTTAGCATTCAATCAGAGGAGTGGGCAGAGAGAAGCCTGTCATTCAGGTTTTGGGAGTATTTTTACTTATGTCACTGAGCCAACAGGTTGTTATTCACTCAGAGGCAGGAGAAATCTGCCAGACTTTTTGTGAGAAGTTGCATTTATCACAGTCTGGTAGGTTCCTATTTCTATGTAAAAAGAAGAAAATGTGAAATAAAGGACCAGTCCTCATGTCGTGATTATGTGCAGTGCCTCCTCACGCACCGTGCCTTCTGCCTCTTCCTTTCTGCCGCTACATTCTCTAGCCCCTGTTGGATACACAGAGTGCCAGGTGGGGGTTCCTAGATGTCTCCGTGAAAAACAAGAGAAAGAAAACTGCCATCTCAATGCTTATTAACCTAAGAGTTAAAGTTACACATTCAGTTTTTCTTAGGTACGGGTTCTGTGAGCCTGGCCACTCATCACTAATGCTTAAATTTATACCCATGAAATGCGTCAATAGAGATGAGGACATTAATGCATTTGTGTAGGGGTGTCAGTGGTGGTCTGTGGAAAAAGAGATTTTGGCATACCTAGTGCCCTGGAGCATGTCTTCACAAGCAAGGTAATGTTTGTGGTGAGGTAAGGAGTCCTAAAAGAACAAGGAACAGGATGGTTCCATTAAAAAAAAAAAAATTGTAAAGAAGTCACAGAAAGTCAAAGGCTTCTAGATCCAGAAAGATTCTAAGCATGAAAAATAATCCAGAAGTCCCAACAGAAAAGACTAGTGTATCTTTCCTAAAGTAAAAACTTCTGTATAATAAACAAAAGCAAAAGAAATCAAATAGTGAAAAATATTTTTGTGCCCATAACTGACTGCCCATCTAATTGCCTTAATAAGCAAAGAGCTTGTGTAAACTGATATGAAATGGTGAATGCATCAATAGAAAAATGATGTTACAAAAGATGTAACTAGCATGTCATAGAACAAAAATGGCCAGCAGAAATACATGAAATGCTGCTGCTTTGCAATCATAAAAGAATTGTGAACCAGTATAATAAGATAGTATAATTCACATAGGGTAGTGCCAAAATCATTTTTCAGTTGATAAAATCCAATGATAGCAAAGATGTGGGGAGGCAGTCTTTTTCCCATAATAAATAAAAAGTGTTGATGTGAATTAGTACAACCATTCTTGTTAGTGGTTTGCAGTATTGGTTAAAATTTCAAATGTATTTATCATTTGGCCCAGTAAATCCATATAAACTAATTTATGTTACTCATATTCTCATAGAATAACAAAATCATAGGTATAGCATGGCTTCCAAGTAGCAAATGGAAAGGTAACTTGTTGCCAGTTTTCTATCTAATTTGTCCTTGAATAATGGACTGGTTAAGTAAATAATGATTCACGTATATAATTCAGCACTACATGGTGGTTATAAAGAATGAGGTGGGCTTTTTTGTGCTGGTATTGGAAAGATGCTAAGAGAGATTGTTAAGTGAAAAAAATGCATATTGTAATTTTGTATATGGGTATGTTTAGAGTGTATGCACACACTTGTGTATTCATGCATATTTATGGGAAATTTTTGGAAAAAGAAAGGAGAAACTGTTAACAGTTTATCTCTGGGGAATAAAAAGGTAGGGAAATTAGCATATAGTGCTTTTATAATAAAAAATAAGGCTCCAAAAATAAAGCCAAAAGAAAAGAAAATAACATCTGCAGTAGTTTTCTACTGCTGAGTATAAATTACCCACAATTTACTGGCTTAAACAACATACATTCATTAAGCTTGTAGTTCTGTGGGCATAAGTCTGGGCAGGTTAGCCTGGGTTCTCTGCTCTGGGTATTATAAGGCCAAAATCAAGGTGTTGGTTGGGCTGTGCTCTTATCTGGAGGTTGGGAAAGAACCCATTTTCAAGCCCATGCAGGTGTGGACAGATTCAGATCCTTGCCTTGGTGCAGGACTGGGGTCCCCGTTTTCATCTTTAAGGCTGCCTGCCCTCTGCCATCCTCCAGACAGCAATGGCTCATCCAGTCATTTTCATGCTCTGAATCCCTGATGTCTCCTCCTTCCATCAGCCAGAGAAAACTCTTTCTTTCAAAGGGCTCATTTGATTGGGTAAAGCCTACTGAGATAATCTCTGTATTTTAAGGTCAGCTGATTTGGGACTTTAGTTACAGCTGAAAAACCCCTTCATAGTAGTATCTAGAGTCATATTTGATCTAATAACTAGGGGATCAGAATCTTGGGGAGACCACCTTTAGGATTCTGCCCACCACAATATCACTTCCATGTTGTATTTTAATTCATGCGGACGAAGGTAGGAGCTCTAAGAGTGATACTTACTGAGAGGAATCACAGAGGAGAAGGATATAAAGAACTGAAACCCAGTGTCCCCAGGCTTTTAAAGGCCTAAGGTATTGACCGTAATACCTATCTTTTTATGTCTTCAGAAGTTGTTTTACTGGGAATTTTCAGGTGACTACTTTGATTCATTTATAAGAGGATTTCTGTAAGGAAAAATGGAAAGGAGTTTTACTATTGGTAAACTCTAGGAATTATTAAAGATGAGAAATATCCTAAATTTCTATGTCTATTACTAGATATGTAAATTTTGGTTACAAAGGGACTTTATTTCTTAAGGATTAGTCACCGTATTTGACACAGCTGTGTTCTGACTGTATGAAGGAGGCCTATGGAGGTTGAGCAACAAAACACAACATCCCAAATCCCACTATTCAAAATGAATCACAGGGAACCTTTTGTCGCACATACCTTCATTATATTCCCTGCTTCTGCCTCCCCACCCTCACCCATGGGGTTTTGGATTAACAAGTACAACCCAGCCTGTGAATGAAGGTAGTTTCCAAGGAGGAGCTATAAGACAGCATGTATATTTTTTAAAATAAAATTTTCACTATTTCAGAAAATTCTGAGGACCTTCCTCTTTTGAACTTGCTTTGGAATCTT